GTACAATTGGAACCGGACTCTTCGTCGGAAGCGGACAAACACTTGCCACTGGAGGACCCGCCTTCATCCTCGTGTCCTACATATTCATCGCCTTCCTCGTCTACTGCGTCGTTTCCGCCATTGTCGAATTCGCCGCTTATCTGCCTACGGCCGGATCCTCAATCAATCTCTTCGCTTCTCGCTATGTCTCCAAGTCGCTCGGATTCGCTCTCGGCTGGCTCTATTTCTATTCCTTGGGCATACTTGTTCCGTATGAGATTACCGCTGCCGGTCTCGTGATCGATTACTGGAACGCTCCGGTCAACATTGGTGTCTGGATTACGATCATGCTGGTCGTGATTGTCGCCCTGAACGCGCTTCCTGTCAAATACTATGGAGAAACCGAGTTCTGGTTCGCATCTACCAAGGTTATCATGATGATAGGCCTCATTCTGGTTTCGATTGTCCTCTTCTTCGGCGGTGGCCCTAGCCACGACAGATTAGGATTCCGTTATTGGGAACATCCTGGAGCGGTGAACACTTACATGTATCCTGGCAATCTGGGACGGTTCCTTGCATTGCTGTCCACATTGGTCCTCTCTGCGTTCCCATTTGCCTTCGCGCCGGAGCTCCTCATCGTCACTGGAGGGGAGATGGAGAGTCCTCGTCACAATCTCCCCATTGCCGCCCGCCGCTACATCTACCGTCTGGTTTTCTTCTACGTCGGCTGCGTCCTCTGCATCGGCGTCATTGTCCCTTATACAAACACTGATCTAACCAACGGCGGCGAAGGCGCCGGATCCTCTCCGTTCGTAATCGCCATGAAGGCCAATGGAATCCCCATCCTCGACTCTATAGTCAACGCTGGCATCCTCATCTCGTCTTGGTCATCCGGCAACTCGTTCCTCTACCTTTCGTCACGGTCGCTCTACGCTCTAGCGCTTCAAGGCAGTGCGCCGGCTTACTTCAAGAAATGCACCAAGTCCGGCGTTCCATACCGGGCCGTGGCTGCTTCGTCGGTTTTCTGCTTTCTTGCATACCTGAACTGCGGCGCCTCGGCTTCAGTGGTTTTCAACTGGTTTGTGAATTTGACCAACACATCGGGCTTCATATCGTGGATCTGCTGCGGAATAGTGTACCTCCGCTTCCGCAAGGCGCGACTGGCCCAAGGTGTGCACGACATACCCTACACCAGCAAGATTCAGCCATATGGAACATACATCCAGATGGCTGGGTTCACCTTCCTGTGTCTCATCAACGGCTACGATGTTTTCTGGCCCAGCAATTGGAGTGTCAGCACTTTTTTGACAGCATACATTGGAATCCCGATCTTTCTGTGTATATACTTTGGCCACAGGATTTACACTTTCAAGGAGGAGAAGTGGGCATTGGCACCGGAGGAGGTTGATCTCCAAACCGGTCTAGATGACGTGTTGGCAGACGAGAAGCCTCCCAGGGTGAGGCACAGCAAGTGGAGTAAGGCCTTGACTTGCCTATGGGAATGAAAAGGTGGTCTCTTTTGAGAAGGTGGATCTTTGAACGGATAGACAAAAAGGAGCGATAGAATAGCATCCAAGACACGGCCCTCAACACACGCATAGGCGCATACCTGTTCACCGTCTTTTGTTCACCGTCATGTCTAACCGATGTCGCACTTGGGATATTAGGCGACCGATGCAAGGCTCGACGAGGAGGTGCAGCCGCTCGTGCAGTAAGGACATGATCCAAGGGCAAATGTAAGGTCAATGTGTACATGGAGATGGTGTTTCGCGGGGGATCTGTCGGAGCGTTGGAATTCCCGTTCGGCCCCGGATTTTCGACTGAAGGAGTGTGGAGTCTGGAGCTTGGACGGCGTTCCCGCAAAAGTGGACCAACCGGAACTAGATTAACGTTACAGTAAGTTAGCGTTACAGTGTTATTGTAGCGATGAAGTACTGTACCGTACTGTAGAGGAAGGGGTTGATCTGATGGACTACTTGTCAACCACACGGCCATGATGGCTATTAAGCTGCTGTGGGCGCCATGGCAATCTGGCGTACCCATTGACAGCCACACCAGTATGTTAACGTTACGTTACTGACTAGCACTTCAACTTGAGCTCCCCGGGCCGCTCCCCGCCCACCGTGCGCCTCCGCTCTCCACCACGCCCTGTTTATGACTGAACTCAAGCACCGACTGACAAGCTCTCTCTAGCTCCACACCGTCCGTCTGCCTCCCTCTCTGCTTGCCCGCATTCGAGCACAGCAATACATCCGAGCGTGCGAGCAATTGTTGTCCGAAAACACATGCCCGCAGCCAAGAGGCCGGCTAACTCGAAGGGCTCTAAGTAAGCTGCATCCCAGCCTGCCCATCTCCGCCTGCACCTCTACCTCGTTCTCCTCAAAGCACCTCCCAAGACCACACCAGCTTCTACCCCTCTGCCTGACAGCCGTGAGTCTTTTCTGCAACTGCGTCCCCTTCCCCCAATTGAGACAACTCACCAGAACCAAGCGGCCAGGCTTCTACGGTCGCATTGGACCCACTCTGCGGTTTTGGAGCTACCGCAATCCCTCACAGTTGTGCTGACATGCTGCTAGAACCTCCAGCTTGTATCACCGTTCGACCCTTCCTTCAAAAAGCGGCACCTCTAGGTACGCTTGTCCAAGCTGACACATGGAGTTCCGAGACGCCTAATCCTCGTCGGCCGTGTTCTCTGTGTTGCTCCATAATGGCGTGCCTCGTTCGCTGAATGTCCACGGCCATGTACTAACGCATGGAATGGTAGAACCTTCCACAATCTGCAGCCGCGCTCAAAATGCCTGTCATCGACAAGCCTCTCCTCGTCCGTGCCGAGCACGCCGTGCACCAGCTGTCAAAGCGCAAGAACTGGGCTGCTCGCGAGCCCGGTGTTGTCCTCGTCTTCTGTATCGTCTTTGTTATAGCCGTCCTGCTCATCTCTCTCTTCATCACGAAGAAGATACAGGCGCGCAAGGCCGCCAAGGGGGACCAATAAGAGTGGAAGAGATGGCTCGGGTCAAGTGATAGCACAGCTGCTGGACAAGAAGAGTGATTATGTCGAAGGATGGTGAGCTCTGCGGTCAGTTCTCGGCATGATGAATGTCTTGATCTATCAAGACGAGTGGCATTTTCGTTGATAATTCTGCGGTTCTTGTTGCCACACCCTCCCTAATTTCCGGTGCGAACAATCGGACTGTCCATATTGCTTTGCTGCTATATACCATATGGAATATCGCTCACCTCAACATAAGGAAACTCCTTGCTTTCTTGCGGTTCACGACGTTGTGATCTAGGCCTTTTCTCATTTTGCTATGTCCGGCAAATCGTATTCAGCTTCCACTGGCGACTCGATTTGAGTTATTCAAACTTCAACAAGTTCAACAGTTCTCAGTGTCCGCCAAACCTCAAGATAGGCCGCTTGAGTAGACCGAGACGTTACTATCTTCAAGACGGCGATTTTCTCTAGGGACGTTTAAGTGCGTTCTAAAGTATCACGCCAAGAAATCAACGATGGAGGAAGTATTCAATTGATAGAAATATCCACAAGGTACCCAAACCTAGACTATGGACAATTCTACTAAAATTCGGTATTCTCCAATATCTCAGCGCGCTTGATGAAACAACTCTAGTAGCTTCAGTCACATTATATACCAACATTCAGCTGACTCCTAGTATACTTGTCTTCCAGAGCGGAACTTCACGACTTATTGACCTCGTTTTCAAGCCTTACTGGCGGACTACTTTGACTGAAGCGTTTCAATCTTAGATGCTCCTGTCATTATTCCTTCTAGGCTTCTCGTAATATCATCAACTCTTGCCTCATGTATAGAATTCACTAAACAGACAGGAAATTCGAATCTCCACATCACGTTCTGAAACCTTTACCGAAGGCGTTTTAGCATACCACCTGCATCTATTCGTCTCTGCATGGACGCCTTCTTGCATAGCACTGACTCAAGGCGAAAGATGGAACCATACACTTTCGAATATTGGTTCTCGAAACTAACTCAAATGGTAAACCCGCATTCACCATCTCCGGCTTACTTCATAAGTAGATCACGCGCAACTTATTATCACCAGAAGATCATCCAAAATGGTCGGCTGTCTCAACTACTGTGGACAGTATTTGATGAAAACCGTACTCGGCCGTATATTGATACCAACTACCAAGACACAACTTGCCACGGGAATGCCTCTACCTTTGGACAGAGTAGAACCCAGGAAAAGTGGTCGACGGAAAAAAACATGAAGCCAGGCCAGACTGCGAGAAAAGCAAAGAAATACAAGGCTAGTCGCTCGACTCGAAGTTGACCACCGATCAATGCAATCAAAACATTCTCGACTCTCTAGCAGGAAGCATTGTTGCATGTGACAATTACTGCTTCATGATGATATCCGTCATCACCAAAAATGCTAATGGAAACCAGTCTCCCGATTCGGGGCCTTCTTTTTTATTTTCACGTTCACATCCATATCCACATCCAAATCCACATCCAAATCCACATCCAAATCCACATTCGCATCCACATTTATGGTTCAGTTCAAAGTTCACTTTATGGTTTTCTATTCTCTATTTACTTTCACTTTACTTTCATGACAACAAAGTTACATCATTATTGTAACAAGCGCCTGATCAACATCGTGCCTTAATTTAAGCTGCGTACAATCGTGAGCTATATTTAAACAGTTCCTATTGGGATGGTCTCTCTGTTACGCGACCCATGGCCTCTCCTTACGGCCTTTTCTCCTGTTCCCCTTTTTCCATGTACTTATTTCTTCCTCATCTCCTTTGTTCGTTCTGTTATCAGTTCCTACTTTTTTTTACAACAAAACCATTGAACAGACCCGCTAGCTTTCCTTGGAAAGCGGGAAGCTCTTCCCGAGCCAGATTTACTGATCCCGCTCGAGTCCATGCTCGATCCACCGGCAGAAGACCGTAGTACGCTATTTGAATATAAAACATACTGCTCAAACTCACTCCATGAACAAGCAACAAGACCCTAACAGGTTAGCTTGATACCTCAGTCGAGGTGGTGTAGTTGGTTATCACGTCTGTCTAACAGGTTCCCTCCTCCTTGAGAAGGGTGTCCAGTTCACAGAAGGTCCCGAGTTCAAGTCTCGGCTTCGATATATTCTCTTTTGGTGTTCCAGATCTTCAGGAGGAGAAGTTTTCTTTTTTCTGTGGCGCTGGTGGAGCTTGTGGACGTGCGTTCGGTGGAATGTTCGGCGCTCCAGCAGGGAAGCCCTTTTCTTTTTGTCTCGGTCCTACCTCACCCTCTCATCGCCGGGACTCCATGCTTGTGGAACAGCAAGAGACCGTTGAAGGGAAAAGAATTGGAGCTCTGTTCTTTTTTTTCGTGTCTTGCACGTTTCATTTACGGGGTCGACGCTCTGCAGGAACGGGTACCGGTACGCACGGATCGATGGATTGCAGACGGATGTCATCCGCCGGAGACCCACGCGTCTCGGGGTTTCGACACACGAACACCTAAGAATACCTAGGCGAAACGGGACCTGCATGGTATCGAGGTTTGGTGCGAGAGAGCGCGACCGGGCTGTCCTCAATCTACCGCTCCGACAACTGCTCTGGACTAGCTTCGAGGGGCTTTGGGGGCACAGCAACAGTCCAATATCACGATCTGAGAAGTAGAGGCGCTGCTTGCTTCGAGATGGCACGAAAGAGGTCCCGGGCCTCGTTTGGATTCTCACGCTTCGAATACCAAGGCGATACGGTCGAGGCTATCACTAACATCTAGCCCTCACGAAACCTCAAGGAGACTCGTAGAGGAATCGTACACGAACGCGCCAAAGAAGTTCTAGACCGGCAATTCGAGGTTCTTCAAAGATGGGACGGTTGGACGAACCTTGTTGCCGTCGGCCTCCTATTCGTGGTCGGGACCATATCGCAAAGACACCCGACCATTCGAGCAATGACGAGCAGCAACAGAGCGCTTCAACTGACGCCTACACTGTTGCCATGGTCGAGTATTACAGGAACAGTCTCTATATGCTGAAGTCGGTCAAGCCGAAATCCGATCCATGCTCCAACACGATGGATCATCTGGATCCTCGCTCGCGAGATGTCAAGATTGATTCGGCTAGCATTGAGATCTAGTAATATCCGCTCACATCTACAGAACAACAGCCAATAGGCAGCAAAGGCTTCACGATAGACTCGTGGTTAGTCTAGCCATGCGACGTTGGACCGAAGCAAAGGAGGACGTGCAAGTATATTCATCTTTCCATTCTACGTTTCAAGTCATCAATACGATCTATATTCCCACATTTCCTTCGCTCATCTGAAATCTCAACCTCTCGCCTTTGATCAGTGGATCATGCCGCTCTTCGCCATCTCCTCGACGTACTTGGCATACCGCGGAACACTCTTCTCCCGCATCTGCTTCCCCCATTTCACAAAGATGAGAAAGGTCAAGCACTGGGCCAAGCCCGCAAACGCGGCCGTGATGAAGGCATTCTGCAGCCCCATGTTGTCGACCCAGGGCGTGATGCCGTAGCCAATGGCAAAGGACATGGTATTGCGCACCAGGATGACCGTCACCATCGCCTCGCCGCTGAGCGCGCGGTACGAATCTATGGCGTATGAGACGGACAACTGGATGCCGATGGCGTTGGTGGCCGCGAGCACGCCCGCCGCGAACACGCAGCCAAACCATTGAACGTGTTGCGCGGCGCCGACGCCCCATAGGATGAGGCCGCCGGGGATGAGCAGCAGCGAGGGCGCGAAGAGCCAGAGGCGATGCTCCGACTCCATGACGCCGGCGTTGCGACGCGCCATCCAGAGCGCGAACCGGTCGCCGATGACGCCGGTGTAGAAAGAGGCTAGGATGACGCCTATGAGCGGCGACACGTACGCCAGGCCGACCATGGAGGAACTGAAGCCGTACGTGCCTCCGAGGATCAGCGAGGCGGTCCCGTTGAGCACGTTGAACCAGACGAGGTTGCTGCCGTAGGAGAAGCCCGCGTAGAATATGACGGGGAAGCTGAGGAAGATTAGAGGTCGCAGCATCATGCCGGGAATCTCGTTGCTCTTTTCCAGGTCGGCTTTTTGCCACAGCTTCAGCTTATCCCAGTACGTCTTACGCGAGGGGCCTAGCAGGCCAGTTGCAACTACCGACCCGGACTCCAGCGCGCTTGATGAGAGGGCAGCTTTCTCGCCACCGTCTTTGGGTGACGAGTCCCCGCGGACCTCAATGGGCGTCTCGGTACCGGGGGAATCCAGCGGCGTGCCCGGTGTGTGTCGGATGTAGTTCGTCTCTTCCATGAAGAAGAAGAGGAAAACAAAGCCGATGGCACAGAAGATTGCGCACCAGTACTGCAGGCAATCGTTGTTAGGGAAAGGTACATTGCAGTGCCAACGGACCGACGTGAAACACATACCAGGACCCATCTCCAGCCCTGGCCGTCGTTGATGAAGCCGGCGAAGATCGGCGCAAGGAAGTTGCTTCCTGCTAAAAGGAGGGCGTATAGGCCGATGTACGTCCCTCTCTCATGGGTGAAGTACTTGTTGCCGCGTCAGCGTATGGCCAATGGTGCAAATGTAGTTTTCTATCTCGTCGCAGATTGCAGAGCACTTCATCAAATGCAGTATTAAATGCACCCGGGATCGGGTACCGAGGACGGGAGGGTCCGGCCGGAGTATCAGCCATGGACACGAATTATTACTCGGCTGCATAATCGTGCCGAGTCTCACTGGGCAGTGATGAATCACGCCAGCAGAGGGCGCGGTGTCGTCGCCGAGGCCTACCGCCGCCAAGACAGAGTAGTCGGGAAAAGAGGAAGAGAAAATAGGAAATGATGCATTGGTGGAAAGCCTTGCAGATGGACAGCAGACTAGAGGCGGCATGGACCAGACGAGAACGGCCGGACGACAAGCGAACGACAAGGACAGGGCGGCGGCTCTCGCAAGCATCAGAAGCCACATACGGACAGGGCTGAAGGGAGTGGCCGACAGCTGGCAGCCACCGGACGGAATACGAAGGTTAGGAAAACTCACATACAATATCAGTGATGGAGATCTCGCACAGGCTCTCGATCGGGGCGCCGAAGAAGCCCTGCAGGATCTTGTTGGCAATCCATTGGCCGTTGGACTTGGTGTAGGGGGCCCATATCTGGATGGCCATGGTGGCGAGGATGCTGAAGAGGTAGACGGGGCGCTTGCCATACTGCAGGGCCAACGGCTGCCAGACCAGGCACCCCCAGCCAAAGAACAAGAACATGTAGCCAGTGCCGGCGTTGAGGTCGGCGAGGGTGAGGCCGGTGTCGTCGGCGATGGGCTCGAGGACCGAGTAGATGGCGGCGCTGGCGATGCCCACCATGAGGGTGTAGACACCCATACAGGCCGTCGATAAGGCCTTGCGGCGCGGCGGCCAGTTGAGCGGATCATCCGGGTCGGTGGAGGGAGCGGGAACGAGCACAATGTCATGCTGGCCGCCCGCCGCGTGTTTGGCGTGCATGGTGCCGTCCAGGTCGACCAGGTGAACGCTCCCCGGGATGGGGCATCGAGGGCCCTCAGTTGGGCCATTCGTCCGTGAGGCCATTGTTCCAGCTGATGACACGGGGCTGTGAGAGATATGCAACGACAGCTAACGTGACTTGGGCGTCCGCGGAGACTGGGGAGCAGCAGCAGCAGCAGCAGCAGCAGCAGCAGCAGCAGCAGGAGCAGCAGCAGGCCGGGATGTTCAGTGGCAGGGCACCAAGTCAGGCTGAGGGGAACGGCAAAGGAAGGCGATTATACGGCATGCCAAACTCGTATGTTTGTACGTGATGTATTGGAAGAGGCGCGAGCGTTGAGGTTGAAGGCGCCCGAATGCTCACCTACTTAACTGATTTGGCGTTGGCGGCGCATCCCCCACTGTTGATAGGTTGATAGGCAGCGTATATCGATAACTTGGGCTGCTCGCTGCGATGCATTTGGCACGGAGGCTGCACCGCTACAGCGAACTAGACAGACGTGGGGGACGAGGCGACAATTACTGATGCTCGTGCATGATGACCTGCCCCGATCGCATTATCGCTAAAGTTATGGCCGCGGAGCACTCATTCTCATCGATTTCATTCCCAGCCCAGCAGCACCATCAGCAGCACAACCAGCACCAGCACCAGCACCACCTCCATCGACAAGCAAAGGGAAGCTCCGCACGACCAGTACGGTAGGCTAAGCTCGACACCACTGCTGTCAGAGCCAAGCTAAGGCAAGCCTTCCTATTTCTGTGGTCCACTGAAACTCACGAGTCCTCTTCCCGCCAGCCCCGTCCGTACAGTAGCAATGTGCAAGGCCCGCTGAACACCCACTGCACACCCGCTGCTAACGTTACCTGCTGCGACGCCAGCTGGCCACTGCGACCCGTCCGCAGGGATCGGTCTGACGAGTGACGAGTGACGAAAGACGAAAAGTACAGCACGAAGGATCCGAGAGAGTCAGGCCTGAACCGGTGGCGCTGCCTTGCGCAACAACCGTCTGGCCGTGTGGCCGACGTAACGAGCAACGGCCGGACATGGATATTGTACGCCCCTCCGAGTATGCTTATCGGCTCTCCGGGTTTTTCGTGATGCCCCTCGATTCTCAGACAGCAGACCAAAGTCAAAAACCCTTTCTATTGCCATGTTGGGTAAAGCGCTCCCAATGCAGTAGTTTCTATGTCTGCCATGTACATCATGTAGCGCGCTTCAGCTGTCAGCCGGCTAGGGCAAATGCCAGGATATTGCCGCCGAGATCTTCACCCTCCCGGTCCACATGCTCCGCAGGCTACTCCTTGAAGTAAGCCCATGTCCTGCGAGCCAAGGCCTGGCTGGGATAGTCCACCAGGCGGTAGAAAAGCTCTGCGCCTACGGCGGTGGCGGCAAGGGTGGTGACCAAGCACGCTACCACGGAGCCAGAGAATGACGCATTTTGGCTGCTCAGGTGAAGGAAAAGCTTGATCCCGGCGGTGTAAATGATGATCGATTGCATGACGAGATAGCCTTGGCTTCGTCAGCTGTGGTGACTTTTCACCTGCAACAGGAGTGTTGGACTTACTGAACGATCGAGAGCCAAGATACATGAAAAGTGGATTCTTGAAGAACCACTGCACCCTGGTGGAGCTCTCGAGAATGAGAAAAACGCCAATCAT